CTAATCAAACCTGTCACAATAGTGGTTAAACAAGTCTTTTGTTCAAACAATCTCCATCTGGACTAATCAAACCTGTCACAATAGTGGTTAAACAAGTCTTTTGTTCAAACAATCTCCATCTGGACTAATCAAACCTGTCACAATAGTAATTAAACAAGTCTTTTGTTCAAACAAACTCCAGCTGGACTAATCAAACCCGTCACAATAGTAGTTAAACAAGTCTTTTGTTCAAACAAACTCCATCTGGACTAATCAAACCTGTCACAATAGTGGTTAAACAAGTCTTTTGTTCAAACAACTCCATCTGGACTAATCTAAACTGTCACAATAGTGGTTAAACAAGTCTTTTGTTCAAACAAACTCCATCTGGACTAGTCAAAACTGTCACAATAGTGGTTACACAAGTCTTTTGTTGAATGTAGCTATAGTGACTAAACTGGTAGGAGTTAAGTGTTGATTCTACCAGAGTCTAAGTCTGTCCACCCATCTTTATATAATTTTCTTGATAAACTGCTTAAAAAAACAAGCAAGCAAAATTATCTTTGTGGAAATTACTCTAACAATGTTTTATAGTAACTAACATTTGAAAGCTAAAATAATGAAGAGTTGACTGCATGCAACAGTACCAAATGTTTCTAACCAATAAGCATGATTTTGTTTTGTATCACAATCTAGACTAGAATTCTAAATCACGCATTGTGCTATTACGATTTGGCTATATGCAAATCATACTTGAAAAAGTATTTTTTACATAAATAAATATACTAAGATATATAAAGAGCTAAGAAGGCTTGGAAAACAATATCACTTGGAGTTTTACTCACAAAACTAGAAAGACTATACCAACAGAGTAAATCTGTAAAACACAAATGTTTTAAAAGTTATAAGTTTTAATTTCATACTTTCCCTGTCATAGAAGTATTTATTTCCTGTGCAAAAGATTTTGTTTTGGTAGTTTTATTATGTTCAAGTTTTTGTTAAATAGTTTCACAGCCATAAAACATGACTTCGTCGTAGAATCCTTTGTTTCATGATGTCGTATTTTATTCATCTTTAATACCACTCAAGCATTGCAGGACTTTTTAACTGCAACTTGTAAAAGAAGTTTCTCTCCATATCATCCCAGAAGAAAATACAGAGTACTTCTGGGATGATATGGAGAGAAACTTCTTTTACAAGTTG